AGCAAATTTTAGCATCGCAACAGATCGCTGTGAGCTCGCCAACGCCGCACCCATCCCCAAGTTCAACACCACACTTCAACGATTCTTTGATTGAGGACAGATGATCTTGATCGACCATCGTCGTTCATCGACTCGACACCCTGGGCATCCAGAAACGAATTATGTCCCGCACTTCCAGCTAAATCACACCAGGCCGGAAAGTCCCCAACCCCCAACGGTCACGTGGGTAGACAACAAAGCCGCTTCTCGTGGCGGGAGGTCGAACTCAACGTGAAGGCTCGTGGGACTTCGGACAAAGAACTCGGAGTAACACTAAGGACTTCACTGGCCAGATCTGGTCACCTTGGAGGTAAATCGAGTGAGTGTAGGCTGTAGAGTCACAATGGCATTGTGGAACTCCAGCGTCGTGAACCTGTTCACCGATTCTCTGTGACGCTGTCGTCTACAATGGCTTTCCCAACCATCTTTTCGGTAAGTGAAGATAGATCGGCGTCTTCAAGGCCATTCATTAACCGCTTGCAATTCGATAACGTTTACTGATTGGTTGAACAGACTTCTCCAGGGTGTTGTAGGTGAATGGCGGACTGTTGCCACTCCATAGGCAATGGCTTTCATCAGGTAAGTGAACACTTTCCCACGACCCGAATGTGAAGTAGAGAGGTTACAATACGGTTCACTGACGGCCTCTCAGGCTCTGGGTCATTGCATAAGTACCACTGCCCTGTCTCCCTGCTTCGAGCCAAATCCAACGAACACCCGCCAACCCACCACCGCTTCTCAAACAGAAGCGACTCCTAACACACCTACACAAGCACCGAAAACTCCAACCGCAAGCAGGAACCATGACGAACCACGAGTTACCTCCGCGCAATAGGCCGCCGAGGCTGCTCAACCTCATGCATTCGCCCGCCGCCAACATGGCAATCTCCACCTTGAATGAGGAATCATCGCCACTCTTGAAACTGCCGGCTGAGATCAAAGCCCGGATCTGGGAGTTTGCAACTGGGGGTAACACGATCCATGTCTCCCACAATCTCCGGGTCACCAGAACCCGTCTCTGCGACCACCCACATGATTACGACGACTTTTCCTGTCGCATCATCATTCGCAACTCGATGAATGAGCGCAAAGACGAGGACGACCGTGCGCCCGACCATGGATCATGTCTTGCTCTAACTCGCAAGTCCAACACCGGTGCAAACATCTCTCTGGGCCTCCTTTCCACCTGCCGGACAATCTACCAGGAGGCTTGCCTCCTTCCTTTCTCCCAAAACCGCTTTGTGTTCGACTCCCGCGACGCGACTAACAATGTTGACATCCTGACAAAGTTCTTCAAGCGCTATGTCAACAACACACAAGTCCGTGCCATCAGGGAAGTCATCTTCGACGGTCACCAGATCGAGGACGCCAGGCGCTGCGAGGTCAATGCCTATGCACTGATGCAAGGCCTCCAGAAGACCTCGTGGATCGTTTATCTGCGTTCCCAGAACATTCCGACCATGTGGCTCAAATCCCCCGACGGACAGGCTCTGTTTGCCGAACCGGGACTGAAGGACTTCTTCGTGGCTTGCTTGAACCGCGCCGTTGACGCTGAGACCTATGCAGTCACTTCAAACGAGATCCTTGAGCAATGGGAGACCGAGAAGAGACGCTTGCTTACTCTGACGCACCAGGCTACTGATCCGACTCAATAAGGACTGACAGAGATCCTGAGAGTCTGGACAGCGGCTTTGCAAAGTCAACCCTTTTTTCCCTTACTCGATCGATCGAACTTTCGCGTTTGCTTTTGAAATTACGGAGTTAGGGCGTTGGGGTGTCTTTCGGAACTGTTTTTGCTTTCTTTTCCTTGCTACAACAAAACCCAAAAAAAAAATACATAACAAAAAAACTAATAAAAAAATGGTGACATCAGCATGCTTCGGCATGTTGGTGTTGCCTAAAAAAAACTACTCTGTGCCACTTCCACGTTTCCACTGTTGAGATCCCGTGATATAAATTGTAGCCTTTGCAACAATCTTACAAGTAAAGTATTGAACTGTTGCTAGTATTAGGTTTTCTGCCTTCGATGTTGATCCTCGGGCCCGGTCAAGGCGTATGATCGATCGAGTGTTTCTTCATATCTCTTTTAATTTTTTTGCGACCATCAATTAACATCCAAGGTCTTCCGTTTCCCTTCCATCGTCACACGCCTGTAACCCTAAAGTTCTGCCATTCTTCAAGCCGCACGCCAACAGCAGTCAACTCCTCTTCAACTTCTTCCTTGATCTGCGAGTAAGATTTGTCCGCGGAGGTATCGTTGAATGTTGAGTGAGCGCCCCGTAGGAGCGTGATGCCTTGGGCGTCGAAACCGGAAGCGATAGCTCCTAGAATCGATGAACGGACGCAGCACTCCGATTGTATACCCATCGCTGTGATCTGAGTGACGCCTTCGAGGCGGAGTTGTTTGGCGAGCTGGACGTTGCTTTCGAATACGTTGCCTGGGGTTGATGAGCTTCGATCGATGAGCGTCGATGTCGAAGAAAGGTCGCCATCGTTCTTTTGTAGATATTAACTCACGGACATCCTTGGACACAAGCATTTCTGCATCGTCGTCCTTTCGTGGGTTAAACTCAAGTTCCCAAGTGGGTTTCCCTTTGTGCAACGGATCTTGGGGGTCTTTGTCGTCGTGCTGTACGAAGACGATCATGGTTTTCCGAGAGGACTCATCGTTGTGCTGCCGAATCGATCCGATTATGTCGCTGATAGCTTGTCGGACCTCCAAGGCGTCCGGTACTGCATCTGGCCCTTCGATGAGATATTTTTGGACATCGATCACGAAGACTGCCCGGCGCTCAAACAAAGGGTTTGGGTTTGTCATTATGCGGATGTTGCGTTCGAGACTGTTGATTGGTCTTCTGTGTTAGCTTCGGTGATGAACAGATCTGCCATGTGAGGGGAAACCATTATGTATGACTGATCTCTCACGGTGTGAGTCACTGCCGGCTTGGCTGACAAAACAGCACTCTCGCTGGAGCATGTTTTGACATGTGGTGGTACCAGCAACTCTAGTATAGGAAATTTGCCATGTTGCAGCTGAGAGATCTCTTCCTCGGAACGGGGTTCTCACTGGCATAGAGGTCGTTCTGAGGTGGTATCAGCAACTCTAGTATGGGGGACTTGTCATGTTACCGCTGAGAGATCTCTTCCGTAAGATGGATCTCTACAGGTAAAGGAGTTGTTC